TTGAAGTGTGGGTAACACCCTTGAGGTATTTCAAAAATTGGGATCTAGGGCCTCAGTACTTAGAAGAGAGGATAGCCGATTAACGACATACATATGAAGTGAGTCAGAAGGCAGGATGGTCTTAAAAACTGGATGTGCCTGGGCACATACTATGTTAGAAAAAGAGTAAAGTGTCTGAAGAGACTAGGCGGCAATATAATGAAACTAAAACAGGGCTATCTCCCTTCCTTAAAAACTACTCTTTCTGATGTAACCTACTCGGCAGGGTCTTCAAAACTCTTCCTGGACAGGCATTAATGAGGTAATGATGGATGGGGTAGAGGAATAGGGAGGCTCCTGGTCAAGAACAGACCTCCCCCCCTTTTAAAAAATTATTCATAGTTAATTAGGAGCAATTTTCATTAATTTTTGGAAAGATAATCTCTAGAGCAGTGGTTCTCACAGCGTGGTTCCCAACCAGCAGTATCAGCATCACCTGGGAGCTTGTTAGAAATGCAAATCCTCAAGCCCTGCTCCAGGCCTGCTGAATCCAAAACTCTGGGGGTGGGGCCAGCGATCTGTGTTTTAACAAGTTTTCCTGGTGATTCGGCTGTGTTGCCCTTGGGTGTTTAAGTAATTAAATTATTGACTTATTTACTGTCCATGTTTTTCCTTTTTCAAATTACAAGTTAACGTTCTGAGGTTTGGAAAATGCAAAATTATAAAAAGATGACAGAAGACATGGGTTGTTTAAACACATCTTCCTGAGAAGAATATGGTGCTCTATAAAGAATTCTGTCTGGCATTTTGAAGTGCATGTTTCAGCCAGGGGTTGGGGCCTGTTTCATGTAAAGTGAAATCACTTCCTCCAGGAGGAGGTTCCCGCAGTCCTTTACAGATGGTCTACATATTTCCATAGAATTCTATCTCCTCTGAATTTGTTTGTCATTTGACTCATCTACATAGGCTTATTATGACAAAATGTCATCTTGACCAAAGAAAATATTTTTTAAAAGAATCTCTGAAAAGAGATCAAAGGCTTTGACACAAGGCTTTAAACAGACTGTATTATGTTATGCACATGTTGAAAATCTATACGATCTTCCTGGGAAAAAAATGTGTTTGAATAGTATCTTGTTAATTTGTTTCTCTGGTTAGGCAGAAAGTTTTCCTCCAAAATCCTGTGGAAGGTGTATGTTCAACTTCTTAAGAAACTGCCAAAGTGTGATCCAAAGTGGTTGTACCATCTTACACTGGTGCCAGCAGTGTATGAGAATTCAAATTGTTCCTCATCCTCACCAACACTTGGTACTGTGGTGTGGTAGCCATTCTATTAGATCTGTAATGGTATCTTAAGGTGATTTTAATTTGCGTTTCCCTCATGACTAATGATGTTGAGTATCTTTTCATGAGCTTATTTGCCATTTGTATATCTTCTGATCCAATCATTCAATTCTTTTTTATTTAAAAAGAAATAAAAGCAAATGTCCATACAAAGATATGGATCCTTGTTATAGGCTGAATTGTGTTCCCTCCAAATTTTTGTTTGTTTGTTTGTTTTTTGCTGAGGAAGATTAGCTCTGAGCTAACATCTATTGCCAATCTGCCTTTTTTCTTTTTTTTTTTTTGCTTGAGGAACATTAGCCCTAAGTTAACATCCGTGCCAATCTTCCTTCACTTTATACGTGAGTTGCCGCCACAGCAAGGCTGATGAGTGGTATAGGTCTGTGCCCAGGATCTGAACCCATGCACCTGGTCTGCCAAAGCTGAGCACGTTGAACCTAACCACCATGCCACAGGGCTGCCCTCATCCCCTCCAAATTTATTTGTTGAAGCCAATCCCCAAATGTGATTGTATTTGGAGATAGGGCCTCTACGGAGGTAATTAAGGTTAAATGAGGTCATAGGAATGAGGCCTTAATAGGATAGGTTTAGTATCTTAACAGAAGAGTTCCTCCTCATGCTCTCCCACACACCTCTGAACAAAGAAGAGGTCATGTTACCACAGTGGGATGGCAGCCACCATAAGCCAGGAACAGAGATCTCACCAGAAAGCGACCACGCTGGCACCCTGATCTTGGTCCTTCAGCTTCCAGAACTGTGAGAAATAAGTGTCTGCTGTTTAAGCCGCCCAGTCTATGGAATTTTGTTATGCAAACCAAGTTGACTAATCTAATCCTCGCAGCAGGATTTGTAATATTTATACTAGTCAAAAACTGGAAACCACACAAATGGATAAACAAATTGTGATATAAATATACATAAAGGAATACTACTGAGCAAGGCAAAGAAAAGAACTATTGATGTACACAACAACATGGATAAATCTCAAAATAATTATGCTGAATGAACCAAACTGGACCAAAAAAACAAGTGGACACTATGATTCCATTTATATAAAATTCTAAAAATGCAGATAATCTGTAGTTACAGAAAGCAGATCTGTGGTTTCCTGGGAGGTGAGGTGTGGTGAGGAGTGAGAGGGACAGATTACAAAGGTACAGGAGGAAGCTTTAGGAGGTGATGAATATTTTACTAGCTTGATTGTCATGATGGTTTCATGGGTGCACACATATGTCAAAACTTATCAAATTGTTTACAAGCAGTGCCTGCTCTCAGGGGCAGAAGGCCCAGGAAGGTCTGAAGGATGGATCCAGAACGAGTCGTTATTGGTCAGCAGGCCTCTGGGAGAAAGTGACATAGACATTTTTTTTTTTTTTAAAGTGAACTCTAAGAATTACATGCTGTAGATGAAATCTAAGCACCTGCTGTGAATCACTGAAAGATACTTTCTCCTGTCCAATGACATTTTCCTCCGACAAGTTCCTAGTTCTTTTCTTCTCTCCCCTCCCCTTTCATCTTTTCCTCCTTGCTTCCATCCCTCCCTCCAATTTGGTGTTCAAATGGACATAGCTAGGGCTAGAAGCCAAAGATGGTGTAGAAAAATGACGGTGAACTAATCACCTAAGAATTTATATTCTTTTCAATAAGTTTAAAAACCTTGCGCATTTTTGTCATGCCTATGACAGGAAATTTATTTGTAACTTTAATAATCAAAAATCTTTATAAATATTTAATGACAGGGGACTTTTGAAGAGAACTTGGGGACCACGTCTCTAACTACTGGAGCTCTAGCATTCTGAAGCGCACTGAGAGATAACTTCTAAGGGCACAGCCACCCTGAGTGTGGGTGGCAAAAGCTTCAGGTGCTCCCCACCCCAGCCCAGGATACTGGATGGAGCTGGAGGCTGCGGGAGGCTGTCAAGTGTGTGGTTAAAAGTTTAGGTACAGAGGTCTACTGCATGTATCAAGTCCTGGCTCCACAACATACTACAATTGAGACAAACTCTTTGTGCCTCAGTTTCTTCAACTGCAAAATGGGTGTGGTAATAGCACCTTACATGATTGTTCAGAAGGTTAAGTGAAAAATGTATTTACAATGTTCCAGCACATGGCACTCCTAAAATGTTCTTCTATCATGACTCTGTGGCATCTTCTCTTTCAACCAGGAGAGGTAAGAGAGGAGGAACTGCTTGCTGGATTTTGGCAAAATTTAACCCTAAGGGAAGAACAAGAAAAGGAGAAACTCTAGCGTTCGTTAGAGTCAAGTGGACTATAGGGCTTGGAATGTCCCTCTGAAGGGTGAGCTGGGGCCACATCAAACTGAACAGAGACACGCCAACAGCAGGGCGCTTAGGGACTTAGATGCAGTTTATTGTATGCCAGTTATAGCTCAATAACCCTGTTAAGAAAAAAACCCCAACAACCCATGGAATCTTCTGATTATCTCTAGGGAACTCCAATTTTGTGTTAAATGAGTTTATTTTTCTCTTCTCCAGTCCCTGATAAAGAAATGGAAAAGAAAATGCTTCACTCAGAAAAGCCTGGTGTATGTACGGGCTTCATAGCTTTGTACTTTACCTCGTGAGGAGCCTGGAATAGAATCCCTGCCCCACCCCAAACTCTCAGCCTTTCCATTACCGTTGGAGGCGAAACGAAAACAAAAAACCAAAATCAAAGGACATAAAACAGGTAGCAGCAAAACGCAAAAATGGGAAACAAATGCTTACACTTGGACCTTATCTTTTGTTTTTGCAAGCTAAGGTGGCTCTGTTGGGTAATGTGATAATGAAAACCTGTTACAAAATCTTTCAGTCACATCGGGTAATTTATGTCAGGAGTGTTACTTTACAGAAAAGGAAAGCCTCTACAAGTAAAGACGCTAAAATCCAGAATCATAGGGTATCAGCTCATGTCAGGCAAAACTTTGACAATACAACCCAAAGTTGAACACAGAATTTGATTAAAAATTCAAAATCTGCTTCCAGTTCACAGAAAGCTTGGAAGGTAAAATACGGTTTGATTCATAGCTTTAGGTAACGTTCATACCAAACGTGGAGAGTTTATACCGAACTTTCGGAGTTGTGCTCATTCATGTTCAGATGGGGCTGCGATAGCAAGGAAGAGGCCAACACAAGGTCGTTTGTGGCAAATCACTACAGAAGGATACTCCCTCCAAAGTTGCAGATAGTTCATTTCCATTCTACTGTGCTGTGCATGCTTATTATTGTTAACCCACTAAATTTTAAGCAAAGTTTTTGAGCTTTGGCTACCTAGCTTACAAGTGGGAGAACTCAAAACTATGTCCGATGCCAACTATGCCTTGCTCTCCCTAATACTCATGTAAAGTAGAGAAGTTTTCTGGGAGGCCTACTGTCAACCCTGTTCCGGGTCCTCCCCTTGGGTCCTCTCTAACGCGACTCGCATTAACTCGCTGCCGGTTCCCAGCTGGAGAGCGCACATTGCACCTGCTCCGGAGGCCAGCCGGGCTTTGCCTCAACCGCAGCTCGGCCTCGGCTGCCTGTGCACGGACACGAGGACCCACCAGGGGTCACTGCAGCCTCAGAGCTATTGTGCCCGCCGGCCCTGGACCCGGCCGGCCGCGCGGAGGGCGTGGGACTGAGAGTGCGGCACACCAGGGTTCGAGCAGAACTGCGCCCTGCCCTCCCTGAGCCAGCCTTCTGTCTCCCGGGAAACCGGCACGGCGAGGCGGGCCAGGGCTCCCGACGGCCCGGGCGCCGCGCCGGTTCTCGTGCGGACCTGCCCGCACCTCGCCGTTTGACCACCCCCGCCCCACCCTCCGCCCCCAGCTGAGACCCCGCCCAGAAGAGGCGCCCCCTTTCAGGGCACCGGGCCCTCGCTTAGCTCCGGGGCTTTTTGCAGACGCCCGGGCCCAGGCCAGCTGCACCTGGGCTGCTCCCGCCCGGGGCGCCACCAAGAGAACTTTCCCTGGAGCCCGGCGCGCCCAGGGCACAACCCCGCCCCCCCGCCGCGGCGCCTGCCTGCAAGTCCTACGACTCCCTGCTTCTCTGAATCTCCTGGAAAAGCAGCACTCGCCGCCGCTGCTGGGCATTCTCGGAGGGAGAGCTTGAACTTGGCCACACACAGCGCCCGGTGATGAGCTCGGGGGTCCCCAGACGGGAGCCGCGCCCCGCGATGAGCTGACCTCCGCTCGCCGGTCTCGGTAAAGAGCCCGCTGCCCTTTCCGACCCTCCTCGGACTTCTCGGGGTCCGCGGGCTGGGTAGCAGACTGAGTGACGACCCTCGTCACTGCCTCTGCGGTGGGGCTGCGACGTCGTGGGCACCCCTGACACAAAGGAACAGCCGAGCGCTCCCGATTCGGACCCGACCGGGGGGGCTGCGGGGTGGGGTCGGAGCTGGAGTGCGCGCCCGCTAGGGACTCCCGGGGCGTCGCGGCCGCGCTCCGGTGGGCGCGGGTGGAGGGGGCTGCGGAGCTCTCGGGGCTTACAAGGGCGGGGAGGGCCTCGAGCTCTCGTCCCTCCCTTTTCTTGCCCCTTGCCCCCTTTGCCAGGCGACTTTCGTCGTCCCCAGGACTGCGGAAGGGGCCGCGGCGCCCCCGCCTTCGGAGGAGCCGGAGCCGCAGGATGCGCGGGGACGCGCCGCCGCCCTCCGCGCCCAGTTCCGCCGGCACTTCCCCGGCCGCTCCCGGGCGCTGACTCTCCCGGCTTCTCCGCCCTCCTTAGCTCCCGCCCGCGCGGCCCTGGCCCCGCCGGGAACTGCTCCTCACGCCCTAGCCGCGGCGGGGACAATGAATTAATGCCTCTCGCTTGAGGGGAGGGGACGGCTCAGCGCCTGGGTCGCCGTTTTCTCGCCTGGCTGGAGACGCCACAGCCGACATGGGCTGTTTCTGCGCTGTTCCGGAAGAATTTTACTGCGAAGTTTTGCTCCTGGATGAATCCAAGTTAACCCTTACCTCCCAGCAGCAGGGCATCAAGGTAGGCGCGGGCGCGGGCGCGAGCCGGGGCGCGTTCCGGGGTCGGCAGCCGGGCGGGCTCGAGGGTCTGCGGCTTTGTTTGAGGGCTGTCACGGCGTCGTGGGAAGGAGCGCAGCTGCCTTCTGCGCCCAGGTAGACGGGACGTGTCAGGGTGGGGTAACTTTGAGTCCCTTCCTAAAGGAAAGTAAGTTTGCCACCTCCAACTCTCAGCTGCAATCCACGATCCTGCGACTGAGACCCAAAGCCTTCCCAAAGCAGTTCAGGCCCCGGCAGCTCCTGAAGAGGCGCAGAGTGGTATAGACAGGCTGCCGACAGCGCCGAAGGCACGCGTCCCTCGGCTTTGTTGAAGGCTTTTATCTCGATAGTGTCCTTGGGGAAGGAAAATAGTTCACTCGTTGAAACACCTTTACCGGGTAGTTGTGATTGTGTCGCCTCGGTTTGTGGTTGGGTATTGCTACGTTTGGACGGAAAATAATTTCCCTTTCCACGAGCGAACCGGTTTTATCCCCACATTTAAGTAAACGTCTCTCAAAGCGACTCAGTAATAACTTTGCGTCTGTTTGTAGGTCATTAAAATGCAATTACTACTATTAACTTAGAGAGCCCAAACAAAAAGGCTGTGGGAGGTTGTAGAGATCCACTTCCTTAATTTTGATGAGTTCTGTTTATAGTTGACAACCTGACGCACGCGCCTGCGCGCTTGTTTTGCTCTTGCAAAAACCTAACTCCCCAGGGGTGAGTAGAATCGGGAACGTTTTGTTGTTTTGTTTCCCTTTCTCCTTCAGTTTGAAATCACTGAGGCATTTTTAGATAACAGCTAAATCTGATGAAGGGAAACCGCTTCCCTTTCCCCCCGTTCACCCCCCGTAGAGCTGGCAGTCTGAGAAATCGAGTTCAAGCTGCCAAGTGTCCTGTCCTAGTCTTGACATCTCAGCAGTTAACCCTAATGGCATAGGCCCTGGGCATTTCCTTGTGTGAATCAGTTTTTACATAGCTTTATGCATACTAGACTATTCCTGGTCAGAAGCTTCAGCTGTGATATTACCATTCTAGGTGTACAGAATTCTAATTTCACAGGTGTCACTCTTTTGCAGGAGAAAGGGGCAAAAATGAGCAATTAAAGCCACAAGATGGAGTTAACCCTTTCCTTTAGGAAATTGTTTTGCGTATTTTTTCCTCAGTAATTATAACAAGCACAAGTCAGTCAGGTTCTCGTTTGGTGTTTCCTTTCAAGACCAATAAAAGACTTTTTTGGGGGAGAGTGTTCATTTTATATTTTCAACTTTTTTCTTCCAAAACACTCCCCTCCCCCCCTAAATGAAATCAGGAAAAAAACTTACTTTGCAACGTGATATAACATTCTTTGGTGTACTGTGCAAATAAGCAGAAATCACAAAGACATCGTAAATTTTTGATAATACATAGATTTTCTGACTTAAAAACAGTTAAAAAAGATAACTGACGATCTGATACTAAAACAACAAAGAAATCTTTCTGATGTGCAAAGTCTAAAGTCATCTGGAGTGTGAGCTTCCTATTTAGTCATGAAAGCCTTACGCTGTCAGCTGTGGAGCATGTACATTATTCTGTCAAGAGAGCAGCCAAGACTTGGGATCAAATGGAATAATTTTGTCAAAGAAACATGAATCAGAAATTCTGATCCATAATTACTTTTTATAACCTGATGGTGCTTATCTTGTTTTGCAAATAGGTTGAAAATTGGTGAGTGATTCAAAGGCAAAAGCAACTTGATAATGCTGTTATTTTGGTTATATGCCATTCAACTAAACAATAATTTAAGCAGGCTTTTGTTGGAAACAATCATTTTGCAACGCTGTTCGCCCCTTTCGGTGTCACAAAAGCATGCCACGATTATTTTGATGGCCATATGTGTAACATAGATGTTGTTTGCTCAAGTTAACCTCATTATCTGTAACCACTGTGCTACTGTAAAATGCCTGTTAAGCACCTATTACTTGTGGTAGGTACTAAATTAAACAAATGTATATTTATAAATGGAATAGTGTATGAACGGCATCTCACATGTAGATAGTATTCAAACACAATGAAAATGTGTATATTATCGTTCTCTACATACTTGGCATTTTCTTTAACTCCTGCTTTAGTTTATAAATGAAATAGTAAACAATTACTTCAAAGTTAAGAGCCAATAACTACTATTATGGTGTTTCCCCCCCGGATAGTACACTTGATAATTTTGATTATCCCTAGTTAAAATCAAAGTTAAGCATGCGACATCAATTAGCCCATTTTTTCCCCTGAAATTAAAATAGAAAAGTCTTTTTATCTTTCAAAAGTATTTCCTAACACTTATTTTGAGATGATTCTTTTTTGAATTCTATCTCAAATGAAATGAAGACAGCTAATTTTGTGTTGAAATTACTCACATATCTCATCCCATAATGGAAGAAATTTTACCGATTCCTAAATAGTTGAGAATTTGCTTGTGTTACTGTTATAATAATGCATTGTGAGTTAAAACAGATTAGTGGTAAATTTAAGTAGAAGCAATATGAGAGAATCTTGGTAAAACGTTTTTTCCTGTGTGCCATTTTAAAACACTCCTTGGATTTATTTAAGCGCCAGATTACGCACTGACAAGTTAGTTATAAAGTGATTTTCTGCAACTTAGATCAAAGTTTTTCCATGGACTTCAGAAAAAAATTGGCTTCCCATGAAAAGCCTTTCAGCCTGAAGACAATAATTACACTTCTTATATTTAAGAAGAGTAGCGTTTAAGTGGAAAATAATTTTCTGTTTAAAAAATAATTAGAAAAAATAAAAAAGGATGTCTTTGTATTCATACTAACGTTAGGTAGAAACATGCCTTCTTAACTTGCTTTAGACCTGACCTCACCTTGACAAGCAGAAAGTCTTTTGCACGCAGTTCATAGTTCAGGCCCTAGCCAAGATGTAAAAACGTAAGTTTGTATCAGCTGAACGCTGTTGGTTGTGTGTTGAGCCCCACAATAGCTGTTGGGCTGTTTGTTCTTTGCTGCTATCTCTGTTGTTTATTTAAGTAGGAATTTCTGCTGTGGTTGGTCTCTCGGTTTTTTGAGCAATGTTTGCTCAGGGAAACTTTTGTTATGTCCTTTGTAGTGTTCTGTGCCTGGGGAGGTAGAGATCTTTCTTTTTGTTCTCTTAGAAAGCAAACCTTGAGTGTGGCTCGGACTACTTTTATGGATTGTCATTTGATTAGCAAAAGATTTTCAGGGGGAAAAAAATCACAAGATTTGAATACAAATTTAGTCCTCAAAATTCCTGCTGCAAATATGAACTAGATTAATATTTTCATTGTAGCAAGATTTTAGTCCTCTGAGTAGTAATGTAATAAACACTGAGGTGTTCATTTTCCCCTTGATGTATTTGACTAAATTAATGAAACCAATATGACAGCAAGATGGAAATTCCATTAACATTTTTAACAGCTTTATTGAGGTGTACTGTACAATTCACACAAAGTGTACAGTTCACCCATTAACTTTTAAATGAAGTTACTTCCTAATCATCTTGAGGTTCCTGAAGGAATATTCTGTGTCAGTTTTGATGCTTTGATCAGAAGCTTCCTAATAAACTAGACAGACAATTAGCAGGTGGGAACTTAAATTATATGCATCTCACCTAGAATTTTCATTCCATTTGGACTGGTAAAGAAAACGTCTAAGAAGATAGGGAAAAAAGTGAAACGCAATAGCTTTTCACAAATCATATTAATGTATATGTGAATACCTGTATCTTTTTGATATCAAAGGTAGAGTCACGGACCTTATAAAAATAGGTTGAAGCAAGTAATCATACACCAACGTTTCTGTTAATGTCAGAGTGGCTGCAGGTCTTGATTGATTAGTAAATTAGATGTGACCGGGATAGAAATACTCCTCCACCCTGTATCTAAGTTTCTGAAATTCAAATACGATATCCACGTTGTGGCCATGTAGATGACCTAGTATATAAATGCGCCCTCAAATTTTTTGTTTTTAAAAAATGGTTCAAAGTATTTTTTCAGCTTGAGGTATAATTGACAAATAAAATTGTAACATAATTAAAGTATACAACATGATGATTTGGTACACACTGTGAAAGGATTCACCCCATCCCACCATCAAGTTAGTTAACACATCTATCACCTCACGGATTTATCTTTATGTTGTGTTGAGAACACTTAAGTTCTAATCTCTTAGCAAATTTCAGTTATATAATACAGCACTATCAACTGTAGTCACCGTGTTATACATAGATCCTCAGACCTGAAATGCCCCCTCAATTTTACAAGAAGTTTTTTTTCTTTAATAGAAGTATTAAAGATACCTTTCATCATCCATGGTTTGGAAGTAATTTAAGGGGGAAAGCATTGTTTGTTACCTCCAGCAGCTTGCTAATAGCTGCCCTTCTCCAGGTATTTATAATTTTCTTAGTTGCTGGTGGACCACACTTTTTACAGCCCCGTTAATATAATTTTTCTTGAATTCTACAATGTTAAGCTCGAACAAACTTTAAACCAAACTTAACTACTGCAGAACTTTTGTTGCTTTTGAGCATGGGTGGTATCTTAGTCTGTTCAGGTTGCTATAACAAAATAACCACAGACTGGGCAACTTATAAACAAGAGAAATTTCTCATAGAGGCTGGAAGTCTAAGATCAGGGTGCCAGCATGGACAAGTGAGGCCCTCTTCTGGGTCGAACACTTTCTTCTTGTATCCTCACATGGCGGAAGGGGCTGGGAGCTCTATTGGCCCTCTTTAATAGGAAGACTAATAATCACCTCCAAAAGCCCCACCTCCTAATACTGTCAGTTTGGGAGTTAAGTTTCCCGCATGTGAATTTTGGGAGGACATAAACATTCTGATCGATGATAAAGTTAAATCTAAATTGCTGGGACAAAAGTCGGCTCAACTTTGGATTAGCCACATGGACAGTGGTTTGCTATTTTTATTAAGACGCTTACACACAAGAGGGGAAACCATCTTTTCTTCAGTAGT